ACAGGCACTTTGCAGGGTTGATTATCAACCTGTGTTGGCTCAGCCTCGCGAAAAGGGTTCGGAGGTGGGACAGGTGTTCCTCCTCAGAAGTGCTGGCGACGAGTATGTCGTCCAGGTAGACGAACACAAACGGCAAGTCCCGCAGCACCGAATCCATCAGGCGCTGGAACGTTTGAGCTGCGTTCTTGAGCCCAAAAGGCATCCGCAGGAACTCAAACAACCCAAATGGCGTTATCACCGCCGTTTTGGGAATGTCCAGGGGATGCATGGGCACCTGGTGGTATCCACGCACCAGGTCCACCTTAAAAAACACCAGCCTACCCGCCAGGTGCGCCGAAAAGTCCTGAATATGTGGCACCGGGTAGCGGTCAGGTGTCGTAGCATCGTTGAGGCGGCGGTAGTCCCCACACGGGCGCCAACCGCCATTAGGCTTGGGGACGATGTGCAGCGGCGCCGCCAAAGGACTGTCAGACCGTCGGATGATACCCAGGCGTTCCATGGTTGCGAACTCTGCCTTCGCTACTGTGAGTTTAGGAGGGTTCAACCGCCGGGCCCTGGCGTAAACTGGGGGTCCCTCAGTGGTGACGTGGTGCTCCACCCCATGCTTGGTGGTAGATGCAGAGAAGGGGGGCAGCGTCAGGTCCGGGAACTCAGCCAACAACCTGAGGTACTTGTCCGCACCCGACAGCGAGCCCGACACCCCGTTGTACGCCGCTTTGCCAAGCGTACACACAAGGGAGGAAAACGTCAAGGCATCAACCAAGCGTTTGTTCCTAACGTCCACCAGGAGCCCGTGAGCACATAAAAAATCCGCCCAGAGGAGGGGAAAATAAATGTCTGCTGTGACGAAGTCCCAGTTGAACCGCTGCCCCCAACACATAAACACATAGGCCTCACGCCATAACGACTCTATATAGGCTATAATAAAACACGGAGGACGGAGATCTCTTTTTCTCCCCCTCTTCTGACAGCCCAGCAGCTGATCAGAGCACGGCTCCCCTGTCCTGCAGGGGGGCGTGGTCAGCTGCAGCTCACAAAATCAGACCCGTAGACAGCAAACAACACATAGAGCGAAATGAGGCATGGCTAAAATGCATGATCTGTTTGGTATTTCGAAAACAGAAACGTATAAATATACCTTATATAGGTATGGCCCTACAATATATCATTTAAATATAGCATGATAGGTTTCCTTTAAGTCTTCGGAATCTATCTCGAAAACGTCAGGGTCACCAGTGTAAAGCCGATGAATGGGAGTCGGAGGCGGTGTGTTTAGTATGGAACTCCACACTTTATTTTCCATCACATTACAGCAAAGCAGGATGATCTTGTCTACACGCTACACAAGCTAGAATGACAACACAACGCAGGTGCACTCACTAACTCGTCCGTGGTGCAACACACTCTATACAACCCAGTGAATTGTGTCTGTCACTACCCGATCCGTCCACCTGCCCGATATGTACTGCGCATGTGCGAGATGGTCCGCCACATTGCACAACTCCGTACGGCAACCCAACTAGGACACTTGACACAGTGGCTTTTGGCAAAGCACACAAAGAAAACTCAAAAAACCGAGAGAGATGAGTTATTGTTATTACAACGTGACTTCACTATTATTTAACAACTATTTTTATTGGGTTCTTTTATTTGGGGTTAAGTACATTGTCAGAATAAGTGAGAAATGGATTTAACTTCTGTTCGACAGCTATATGCCATACATTTTTGCATACATTCACAGTAAATATTTATTCAGTATGATAGCTGTCTAACAGAAGTTAAATCCATTTCTCACTTATTCTAACAATGTACTTAACCCCAAATAAAAGAACCCAATAAAAAGAGTTGTTAAATAATAGTGAAGTCACGTTGTAATAACAATAACTCATCTCTATCAGTTCTTTTTCTGCTTTGCCAAAAGCCACTGTGTCAAGTGTCCTATTAGAGTTGCCGTATGTAGTTGTCCAATATGGCGGACCATCTCGCACATGCGCAGTACCGATCGGGCAGGTGGACGGATCGGGTAGTGACAGTGTCCCGTAAATGTCACCACAACAATAAATATAAAATCAGAAAGTATTTATCAAACGCACACATGCAGCTGTGTTTAGAACCAGTTTGACGGTAAAGGATGTATCCTGGTTTCATTTATCAGCCTCATTGCTGTGATGTGTGAGAGTAATTTACGTGGATTTAATAGTACCGCATAGTTTAGCAAATAAAAGTGATCGATCTCCTAGCTAGCGCTGTCTGCGTAGTATTTTGTAACGTAACGCCCCAAACAGCGACCGTCTGTTAAACGCTATCGATTCAAACGGCAGCGCTTTATTAATACTTTGTTTCAAGCTCTCGTCCTTAGTAAAAACAAAACTAGTGGAAGGGGAAATGCTCCCAGGGGAAGCTGATCCACCTTCAGGTGCTGGGACAGCTCGGTCTCTCTGCAGCGGTGTGAGCCGCGGTCTGTGAACGCCGCTCCGCACTTTAATGCAGGGCCGTAGCTGCGTTTTTAACGGGCCTAAGATGATATTTAAAATGATTCTCTTTGAATTAATGTACTGCTTGTTTTGTTGCCTGAGAAGCTTGTGGACATAGTGTAGGTTTGTTTCTACAAGTACAGTTTTAGGGACACAAAAGTTAGGGGGGCAGCTGGGGGGGGGCAATGCCAGGGGCGCTGCAGCACCCCCTAGCGGCAGGCAGGCGGTGCGGAGCTCCCCTGTCTGCACATTTATTTTATTTTTGTTTTATATATATTTATTTCATTTAATTGTGCCTGAGATTATATTTTATATTATATATTATTATTCAAATGATAATTTTAAACTATATAATAAATTATTTTGCTTCAGGGAAGAAAAATAAATACGTTTTTTGTTAGTTTTTAGTCGGCTACTTTTAACGTGACGCACAACAACACAAGTAACTGACATGGCGCTTAACTAATCCTAACAAACGAGATCTCGCTAAGCGGTCCTACGACGCTGGTTATCAACTCTGTAAATCAAGCAAGGGTTTCTCCGTCCAGCTGAGAGCGCGTTCACGTGAAAGGGGCGGGGTTAGCTACATTTGACCAATCACAAACAGGGACAAGTGTACTGACAGCGCAGCGTCATACTTCATTAATGAAAAGTAAACTAATATTAGACAAATATGAATTTTAAACATCCATGACTTAAACATATAATCCAGGATACAAGCCACATAGTTTCACCTGCAAGGTGAATACAGAACAACTGGTTAAAAAATAAATAAACTACAGAGTGTTTGAAAGCGTACAACAGTTTTATGATACTGCCCCATCTAAGACACGAGTGGATCTGACTTTAATTACATTTGAGTTGAGTGTTTCGTCAACTTAATGTGTTGCTTAAAATAATACTTCTGCATACAGTATATGTGACAATGTAAGTGATGCACGGCCAGATACGGCTCAAGAAGCTGACTCAGATAAGGAAATATTGTGATATTATATGATCGATGATCTGATTGATGATGTGATATGAATGATAAGTGCGACACGTCGGCGTCTTCTCTGCAACGGCAGTTTAAACTGTATTTCCTTTATCCTGTAATATGACTTGATAGATTTAAACTCCGCACACTGAGCTCTGATTGGTCAGCAGGCGTTGCTTTCACTGAGTTGATCTCTTTTCTATAGACGCCGGGGGCGGGCAGCGTCAGGTAAAAAAAAGTTATTTAGCCTTCCCAAACCTGAGCCTCACACGCCGCCTATGATTGCTGCTGCAGCCGTGCATAATCTGTGTAATATGTAGCCAATAAATTCCACATTGTTGGTAAAATAATATTTTCCATCTTTGTAGTGTGTGTGCTCGCGCTTTTGTGCGTGCTCTATAGTGCCCGTAATAGTGTTCACTGGAGTCCATTGTTATGCCACTGTGTGTGTGTGGTTTTGCCACACACACACAGTGGCCCCCGTTGGTGCGTAATTAGCACATCGGACAGCACCTCAGCACCCCAACTCAAAATACCTTCTCGCGCCTCTGGGCAAGGCTCTACAGTGGGGGGATCCCTGAATAAGTCCAACACCCTATTATTATTATATCACAGAGTATATGGTTAAGTTGTGTTGCCGTGGTGATGAGGGATCTCGTTGTCCCTCTGTTTTCCTGCCGCTGCGCCGGCTACCTGGATCCTGGAGAGGGATTTGATCAGGGTGTTGTGAGACCGTGTTCTAGTCTTTTTTTTTTTTAATGTGTGTTCAGTTTGTTTCTGTTGTTTTCATCAAGGCTGTCCCATTGACAGCTCAGCATGCAGGTCTTTATCATGAACTTATATTCTGACATACTTTACCAGCGAACTGTACAGATATTTCTGAGATGTGCTTTTTCAAATGTGGTATTACTGTTAATACTAAGATCATGTATTTTTCGAGAAACACCAGCTCCCTTTGCAGTGTGCCGTCATAAAGTGTAACCTTTGACAGCAAGCTTCTCTTTTATAAGGGAGACCGCAGCATAAGAAGATACAGACAACAACAACAACCAAAGAACAAATAATAATTTATATACATGAGCACAGTGACGTACCAACTGATCGGTTTGCCATTGCACTCATAACAATTCTGAGATCAGGCAGAGACTAACTTCACTGAGTTCCAAGTCTTTTTGCAGGCTAGTGAGGGGAGCAGAGCGTTATTCCTAGTCCTGCAGCCATCAGATCTGGGCAGTACGAGGCAGGTTGACACATGTCATATCTGCAGCAGGAAATCTGATAGAACCAAAAATAAATCAACATGTTGACATTTCTCCTGGACATACTGTAACTACTGAAGAATCTTAAGAGTGAATTAAAGTCAGTCTCCATAGTTATACTTCACTTTATCAAAGCCAGCTCACCACAAGACTGATATCCAATTAGAATGTTTCTTTTAATGCTTACTCAATCCCGGGTCTAATTAAACTGAGAGTTGAATGGTTGTGTTATGTGAAGTCCAGGTTTTTTTGTTGATGTCTTGACTATAATGACCTTTTCCTTCTTTACAGAGATAATGAATGATGTCATCAAAAAGGCACGAGAAAAAGGAAAATGGAAGGTAACGCTCCTGTTATAGTGATTCAATATGGCGTAATTCCCCTATGATCTTGACACTGGATAATAAGATGTAAAAGAGAATGGTGATTAAGCCCCCTGCTGTGTCACCGTGCTGCAGGTGCTGGTGGTGGACAGACTGAGTATGAGGATGATTTCCTCGTGCTGTAAGATGACAGACATCATGTCCGAGGGAATCACAAGTAAGTTCCAGCTGGTCCCTCACCTCACTACAGCTGCGGCATTGAAATAACTTTATACTCTATGCAGGATATATGAATTCAGTTCAGCTGGAAGGGTCTGTTTAAACCCACTATACGGTGGATGATTCATTTCTAGATTGTTTAATTTAAGTATTTATGGATGGAGGTACTGTGTTGAATTGCTCACATTGGCTTTCCAAACACCTTTCATGTCTTTTATTAAGCGTTGATATAAAGCAATGAAGATTGATATCTCATCTCATGTGCATTTAGGAAACTACAGAGCTAGCTCGTCAGGATGTTGTTAGCATTGCTTAGCTCAAAGACCACACACAACCTGTCTGAGTGTGCAGAAACACACCCACCAATAATGGTAAGGTTTAATGGTTATAATGTTTTGGATGAAATCACAATGTCACAATTCTGATTAGTAATATGTGAGGTGTACCCACAATGAGTGCAAGTATTAAGCCTATGCCCTTTTTATTATGCTCACACTAAAAGTTTATCTCAACAATCTTAGTTATTATATATTTTTTGCAAACCAAAATGACTTGTAGGTTGACAATATAAATATGTGTCCTGATTTGCATGTGTTATAATGTCACGTATTAAATGTCTATCAGAAATAAGAGTCCCATGCAGCCACAGCGATGAGTTCATGTACTCTACACTAAGCTCTTGGTGCTGTCCATCACTCACATGACATGGATGATGTTACATTTTAAGATCTTGTAATAATTGGTAAATGTTTGCTGTAATTCAACAGCACTTCTGTTCCTTTGTGCATGATTGTGCAGGCAGGGTAGTTTATTTTAAGTCCTTGTTTGAAGGCATAGTTCCGTAGCGCTGATGATGAATATTGATTATTGTTTTCCCCTGCTCTCCAGTTGTAGAAGATATAGGCAAGCGGCGTGAGCCTCTCCCCAGCATGGAGGCCATCTACCTGATCACCCCCTCAGACGAGGTACCGGTCACAGCCCCTCACCCTGGCTCTTCATGAGTTAACCATACAAATTATTTCAGCATCTCGTTCATCCTTCAGTGTTTTGTTATTTTGTCAAGCAACTGACAACAGAATAGTTCAAAATGAAGTTCCAGTGGGTCTTATGGTTAGTGTGGTTTATGAAGATTTACATTTTGTTCTTTTAAAACTCATGCAATGATAAAGTCAGACAAGATGTAGGGTTTTTGAAAAACTAATACATATCTGCATACACCGTACAATACCGTTTGTTAGAACCAACATAGATCTTAGCCAGGCAGTCGAATCACTACTATAAAGCAGAACACGCATAACATATATAAACAAAACATATTGATTGATTGATTGATGTAGTGAATAATACCTGTTTAACATTGATCTCCATATTTCTAGTTCATGGTCATAGAGTCATGCTTTGTCCCTTATGTGTATCGGACATCATCAGTGTCATCTAGCTCTGCTCTGATTGGTTCAATTTAAGAGTAATATATACTGTATCCTATAAATATATATACAATATGTATATATAAATATATTGCTAGTTCTGCTTGAAGATAAAGTAAGAAGCACACTGGGCTATTTCATTTCACTATCTTTTGAACAGAATTAATAACAGTTCTAGACTAAAGCCCTGTCCTGTTGTGTCAGTCTGTCGAGGGTCTGATCGATGACTTCAGAGACCCCCAGTCTCCAAGGTACCGAGGGGCTCACGTCTTCTTCACTGACAGTGAGTACATCCATTCCTCACCAACAACACACACATAGAGATATATTTGATGTAGTCAAGTTGACTCCTTGAACATTTATATTTTCTTTGTTGAAATAACCTAATCCAGTGTCATGTCAGAAGTGGTTTATGGCTGATCCAATCTTAAAGTAGAGACCATCCAATAGCCCCGCCCCCCCAAGCTTGGAACATGCCCATTTTACAACTCAACCTTTATTTTGATGCTAACCACACATTCATACAGTTTCATGATAGCATGTTGCAGGGTGAGGCCATTGTGGCGGTTACATATTCTATTCACAGACACACATGCAGACAACAACTTGTTTCTATAGGTAGAATACTTAATCATCATGATATTCTTGGCAGTTATGTCCCTTTCTATGTCGACTACTTATCACAGTTTGAGCGTGTGGCTGCACGTCATTGGATGAGACGTCTTCACAAGTCTACAATATTGCACGCTATCTGAAAATGCCCTTTGGAAAACCTTCCTTAATCCAACATACTAAAGAAGGGACCCAAGGTCAGTCACAATTTATGTGAACTAACTAGGGCTGTCAAGTTAACGCGTTAATAACGCGTTAACGCATTTAAAAAAAAAATTAAATTAACTAATTATTTTAACGCGATTAACGCATGTGTATTTTTTGTCCTCGGCCGCCCCGTAGTTTCAGAGCGCATCGAGTTTAAAATACCATCTACAAGCTGATGCTGACAGCCCCGCTCCTGCTGCCCGCTTGTGGCAGACCACACTTCCACGCTCACCGGCAGGCCCGGACTGGCCATCGGGAGGACCGGGAGGGTGTGTGTATGTGTGACGCGGGCGAGGCACACCTTACGTGTTGTTGTTGTTGTTGTTGTTGTTAGCATCTGGTGCTAGCTAGCTGCGCTAACGGATATAAGGAGCTGTTTTCAATGAAAACAGAGGAGCGACATTTCGCCGACAACTGCGCCGAGCACTTGACTTTATGCAGGTAGCCAGACAGTGGGACATTGTACGAAAAGTCAGCACACTCAGCACGGATAGTGCGCGCAACATGATTGCAGCGTCCAGGCAGCTCCCGTTCGAGCATATATGCCTTGAGCTGCACATAGCTCCAACGATCCATCACAGTGTGTCTCCACACACACACACACACACACACACACACACACACACACACACACACACACACACACACACACACACACACACACACACACACACACACACACACACACACACACACACACACACACACACACACACAGTATTATTGTATGAGAGAGGTTCCAGGTTGAATTGAGGCGAATATTTGTAATGTTCAGAGGTTGTTGTGTTTAATATTCATGAGAATATTTGTCATTGTTCAAATGATAATAAACAAACATATAAAGCATATTTGTCCACTCATATGTTGATAAGAGTATTAAAAACTTGAAAAATATCCCTCTAAGGTACATTTAGAACAGATAAAAAATGTGCGATTAATTTGCGATTAATCGCGATTAACTATGGACAATCATGCGATTAATCGCGATTAAATATTTTAATCGACTGACAGCCCTAGAACTAACACAGGAATCTGCCCATCATAATCACTACCAGTTAGCAGGCAGCCTTGGTGAGAAAGAAATGCATTAAGTAGGGATAAACCGATAACGATACCAGTATTAGCCCAATACTGTGCTCATGTACTCGTACTTGTAATCGCAAATCTACTCTGATCCAACCGCACCCGACACCGCTTTACAGCAACGTGACGTTACCCTCTCCTCAGTTTAGCAGGTAGCCGGAGGAGGAGCAATGTCTGCAGTTTGGAAATATTTTAGGATAAGCGATGATGACAAAAGTAGAGCAGGCTACAAACTAAAGGGATTAATGTGCAGTGAGGTGTAATTAATTACCAAGAAAGAACACCCAACTCATTATCCCGCTTATTACATGGTCACATACTGAAGAAACTACCCACTTTACTATTTTATTGACTAATTCATTTAACAGCACTGATCGATGTTCACAGTTCCTCTTCCACTAACAAGTCCTTAATCAATGCCAAAGCCCATACCGTGTTCCTGTGAGTGTTTTCTTCCTGTCTACCTTCTTTAGCCCTTTTTTCATTTTCCCCTCCTTGACTCCTCTCCTTGACTCCTATCCTCGCCGCATCAGAGCCGGTGACACCAGCAAACTCAATAAACTGATTGAGAAGGCTGGCTCGGTCATTGGCGTCAAACTGGACACTTTTGTAGCTGTGGTGGAGATGAGGACATGAACAGGCTGTTGCCCATCATGGATAACCCCACCCCCCTCTCCACCTGCACAGACAGATAACCCCACCCCCCTCTCCACCTGCAGCTGGACAGACAGATAACCCCACCCCCCCTCTCCACGTGCAGCTGGACAGACAGATAACCCCACCCCCCTCTCCACCTGCACAGACAGATAACCCCACCCCCCTCTCCACCTGCACAGACACATAACCCCACCCCCCCTCTCCACCTGCACAGACAGATAACCCCACCCCCCCTCTCCACCTGCAGCTGGACAGACAGATAACCCCACCCCCCCCTCTCCACCTGCAGCTGGACAGACAGATAACCCCACCCCCCCTCTCCACCTGCAGCTGGACAGACAGATAACCCCACCCCCCCTCTCCACCTGCAGCTGGACAGACAGATAACCCCACCCCCCCTCTCCACCTGCAGCTGGACAGACAGATAACCCCACCCCCCCTCTCCACCTGCAGCTGGACAGACAGATAACCCCACCCAAAACATTCCTGCCTACTGCAATAACTCCTGGCTGGCAGAGAACTCTCTGCTCCATAGTTTCTCTTGAATAACTCGACACACTGTACATCTCATATTTATATTTCATTTAACACACTTAATGTATATAATATCCTGCTTTATATTGTGTGTATATAAAGCCTTCACTAGTGTTTTATTGTCAGAGTTTATAGATTTTTTATCTTCACAGTATACTGTATATTTTCTCTAATATGTAGTGCTGTTTTAATTCTATTTTGAGATGTTTAATTTATAGTATTCTTTATTTCTACTCTTTAATTTCTACTTATGTGCAATGCCTTGTTTTGTTTTTTTTGCTAGTGCAACGCAAACATTTCTACACACTGTACAACACACACCTACACACTGTACAACACACACCTACACACTGTACAACACACACCTACACACTGTACAACACACACCTACACACTGTACAACACACACGTAAACACTGTACAACACACACCTACACACTGTACAACACACACCTACACACTGTACAACACACACCTACACACTGTACAACACACACCTACACACTGGACAACACACACCTACACACTGTACAACACGCACCTACACACTGTACAATACACACCTACACACTGTACAACACACACCTACACACTGGACAACACACACCTACACACTGGACAACACACACCTACACACTGTACAACACACACCTACACACTGGACAACACACACCTACACACTGGACAACACACACCTACACACTGGACAACACACACCTACACACTGTACAACACACACCTAAACACTGTACAACACACACCTACACACTGTACAATACACACCTACACACTGTACAACACACACCTACACACTGTACAACACGCACCTACACACTGTACAATACACACCTACACACTGTACAACACACACCTACACACTGTACAACACACACCTACACACTGTACAACACATACCTACAGTACAGCTCCTAAAGCATATCATATCAGGCTACAGCCGGTGTGTATTTTATTATGTGAAGCACTAAATGGTTTTATGAAAAAGACCTACTCGTTGTTTGTAGATATCTACTAAAGCAGGGGTTTTCAAAGTGTGGGAAGGTGAGCCTCCCCTCAGAGAACATAAGAACAGCCACGCCCCCTATGCACCGATTTGATTGGCTGAGTAGCGTCACCTCCTTAAAACATTAAACAATAACTTTTTAAAACCTTTTTATCTTTATGTTTTAAACATTTTTCTTTAAACATTTTTAACATTTTCAACATGGTGGATGAATCCTTATATGCTCCCGGCAACACACTGAACGTCAACTTTGCCTCCTTATTACACTCACCCATAGGCGGAGTTTGACATTTGCGCTTGGGGGGGCAAACCTTTTTTACTGACGTCAGTACAGTCCCAACTATTGCGTGGGGTGCTACGGATACAGTAGCAATAAAGCCAGCGCTCACCGCACTGAGTATGACTTTTCCATGCCCGCTGTACACACACACTCATATGGAAGGGGCGGTCTCTCCCCCCAACAACAGTGCATTACATAACTGTAAAACTTATCATAACTGTGCACATCTTATACTTATTTGATAACTACTATATCCCTTGGTTACTTGAACACGCTACAATATTATTAACCAGTGTCCTACCTTAGTGCAGAAGTAGACGCCTTAAACGTCCCAGAAATATCCATTACTACTAATTCTTGTAATACAATAGCTGAATCCCTTGTATGCAAAAAAAAGAAAGGGAACTTGTGTCCTTAACGTCACACACACACGTCACAACATGCAACTGCTAAAAAATGAAATTATTTCAAACAAAACATGATATTATTCAGATTTGTATTGTAATAATCATTTTATTACATCTATTAAAATATTGATATACGAAATATTTGTATTGGAACAGTTTTAGACGTAGTTATGCTGTAACATATTTCAGCCACTACGGGGGGCAATGGCGCTTTTCCACTGCAGGGCCTCGCTCGGCTTAGTACGGTATGGCTAGGCCTCGTTAGGCCTTGTTAGGCCAGGCTCACTTTATGCTGCATTTCCATTACAGTTTAGGAACTGTCATCTTCAATGCGAAACACAAAACCAACATCAGCCGTTAGCTGTTAGCACTCAGAGCTCACAGCTCCTCATATCTGTTCAGAAACTAGACAAAAGTTAAACAAGTACAAACCACAGACTGTCTGTGTCATGGTGAATACAGTCGCTGGTTTATTTATGTCTGTATAGGCCGTTGTGAGTGTGGACGGTCGGAGCATATACTGCGTTAGCTTAGCCAATCTCCATTCAGAAAACACGCATTTTAAAAGGTTTTTCGCCTGCCGTCTGTCTGCAGACTTGTCAAAGCATTAATTCATGGTTTTTACTAACCGGTATCAGTATGTTGTTACTTCGGCATCATTTTGAAACGTGTATTACAATTAAATTCACGGTAAAATATGTTCATTTTGTTGTAGTTGCCAGCGATTCTCTCACGGAAAGAACCTCGATTTTGGAGAGCCAGAAAACTGTGAAAAAGTACCCGCTAGCCGGAACTACGCCTAGTGGAAACGCAACCAAAAACGGGCCGGGCACGGCACGGCATGCTTAAACCGCGCTCCGCGCTGTAGTGGAAATGCGCCATTAGTGGCACTTGGCTCCTGGGTCAGGTCTCACTTAAGGCCCCTACACACCAAACTGACACCAAAGAACACATCACGACGGAACACGACTGTTGTGTCGCCTCACGTCTCCTGCGTCTTGGCCAAACAGTCGCACTGGAACACACCGCAAAGACTTCAGCCGACGGCCAAATAGCACGTACGAACTGCGCATGCGTGAGTGGCAATAACTCTCCTTACCAGCAGGCGGCGGTAGTGTGTATTCGTCATTCAGAAGAGGCAACCAGAAGACAGATTGCGTGATATATACAAACAACAAATAGCTACATGCTACAGCTCGAGCCAAGCAGCATATGCCAATATGTTAACAGTATCGGTGCAGTGCCTTTTCAGTGGGGCAAGATATAGCAAATATAGCCTATCCTGCTATTTGTGTTTATTCTTTTAATCACACAGCGTTAATAAAAAATAAAAATGTGCATACATAACTGTCAGTTGCAGCCGTAGCATTATTATTGGTTTAACTAGCCTACTAACAGTATATTTTTAAAACATTTTAAAATGACCATCTTGAACAGCTACAACATTAAAATACTTCTAGGCAGATTGTGGACAGTAACAAAGTACATTTACTTAAGTACTGTACTGCTCCACTCCCATTCAGGCAAATAGTGTTTCGCTAAGCTGAACAGCCAATCAGAGTGATTTATTTTGCCGACAGCCTCCGTGTATCGGCATGGCCGAAAAGACACGACTGTGCGGGACACACCAATCTGAGTAGGGCGACAGGATGCTCATCGACGGCCAGACATCTATCGACGGCCAAAATCGGCTTGGTGTGTCCGGGCCTTTAGAGATGGCAAATCCGGATCCATTTACGGACTCAAGGTCTTCTGAGTCAGTCATTGAAGAGATCCGGATCATACGAGTCCTTTGAGTCATATGAGTCACCAAGAGCGTAGAAATCCTACTGGTGAAACAGGAGCACATAGTCTCCAACTCCAAATAAATTCAAATTTTAGAGCTACTAGTGAGGGCGGCAGTCCACTGTTTGTGTATTTGTAATTTTGAATTTGTCACTTGAGATTTGCATTTCACGAGCATATTAAACTAACGTTACATTAACCTCCGCTTCACAAACATGATCTAACAACGTTTGTGTCTTAATGCTTGTTTATTGCAGTATTTGGCTTCTTATACTTGACTGGGTGAAGTCGTCAAATTATCTGTGCACAGTATGCATCTACGTTATCACAAACAGAGCTGACACTCACTGAGTCTGAAAACCATGACAAGTCCGAAACCGTTTGCTCTTTCGCGCTGTGTGGAGTAATCCACTCATTCAGTCCGCTCACCGAATCTGAGTCTGCTGTTGACTCGTGCATGATGAGTCTGGATCTCTGGATCTGCTACAGTTACAGCTCTGAGTCCGCACGAGTCTGCTATGTTAGCACAGTGAGTCAGGATTTGCGAATCTGAGTCTGCTGTTGACTCGTGCATTACGAGTCTGGATCTCTGGATCTCTGGATCTGCTACGGTTACGGCTCTGAGTCCCCACTAGTCTGCAGGAAGTTTCACTGATCCGCGTCCCCTGAGCCAAACAATAACTTCTGGCAGCTATCCTACTTGCTAAAGGCTAGGCAGATGGACTGGGGTACGTTGTAATGTGATTTTACATGTTATAAAGAGAGTAGCGAGAGGAGCAATTTATAGTTTTAATTTGTACGTCACCAGGTCTCAAAGGACTCGGGTTAATGGAGAGGGGAGACTCGTCAGCAGGTCATTACTAGGATCCGGGTTAATGATCCGGATGAATCAGGACTCACCCATCTCTAGTTTCACTTTAACACTTCTACTTAACATGTTCTTATCAAGCTCCATGTCCCACTTTGATCAGCAGGCCTAAACCACTGCCTGTGAGCCCAAATGAAAAGAACTAACATTTGGCATCATAAGGTTTTTTCAAGTGAACAGAAGACCTTGAAAATATTTGTACAAGTTGTGTAGTACTCAAACTTACTTTTATATGTGAACAACTGAATTTCATCTATCAATAAACTGTATATATTTTAATTTAATAAAGTTGAAATATTCATGATTGATATAACATTTTCCAATTTCTTATTATCTCAGTAAGTCAGCATGTTTCTCTGTCTTGCTCTCCAGCGATCCCAGACTCTCTGTTTGGACTGCTGACCAAATCCCGCGCCTCCAAAGCCATGAAGGCGTTGACTGAGATCCACGTGGCCTTTCTGCCCTACGAGTCTCAGGTACACATCGTCTACACTTTTGGATTAGGCTACATATGTTCATCTGATTAATCATCATGTTTGATTATAGCCATTTAAAAAACATGTGAAATTGTAACATGAATTCTTACTTCAGCAAAAGAAGTCCAGTATCAGCTTTCTGTTTCCCAAGTAGCTTGACACTTTGCATAAAAGACTAGATTGAAATATAAAGGTGCAGACAGATTTACAATAGGGGGGGGGGGGGGGGGGCAGGCAGTACTGAAGAGGATCAGAGCAGCAGCTTTAGCTTCAATCCTCTGTCGTCCTGTACTTTTAATCCGGAGAGGGAGGCCCTGCCCTCATCCCTTTAGCTCATTGGATGACAGAACCAATGCTCATATTCTGCAGCCAATGGGAGCTCAGATAAGATGTGTGACAAGAGATAGCACAGAGATTGCTGTCATGTGATGCAGTCAGCAGCAGATGGGTGCAAACATGTATTTGAGTGAGTTTGTGAGTGTCTCATTGTGTCAGCGTTTGAATGCCAGTTTGAAGGATAAACGTCTCTGGTGGTCAATATTTATACTTAATATTTTTAGCTTAACCAATTTCAAGCCCAAATATTATTATTTTTAAATACGATCTTTCTGTCATAGCGGATTTTTCTTAACACTCCATTAAGATCCTTATAAATCACAAAAACTCTTGATTAAATAAGTTTATAAAATAGACAATCCTTGCTTTAGATTCATTTAGTTTTATTTGTTATCTTTTATTTTATTGAGTGATCAAAAAAGGCTGGGCAGTATGACAAAAAATGCTGGGTTACGTATTGTAACCCTTGTTATATTAACACAGGCGGAGCCCTCTACTGGACTCTATGGGTACTACCCTCTATGCAAGCATTCACCTACTGAGATTTCTATAGACGTAGCCGGCCCCGGGGCGGGCCTACCTGAATGCGCGCGCATCTCACCGTATAAAAGGAGGCCTCGCCTCCTGACTATCATCCTACACCTCTCTTCAGCGAGCGGTATAGGACAGACAGTGCCCTGAGTAGAGGGCTCCGCCTGTGTTAATATAACAAGGGTTACAATACGTAACCCAGCGTTATATCTCTCACAGGCTCCGCCCTCTACTGGACTCTATGGGTACAGTGGGTGGAGCCCTGATGTATACACGCGCTGTCGTCCAACAACATCGTTCCACCCTACTGCCCCTGACCGGCTTTTCTGGTCAGCAGCTGCTGCCCCACATTCTCCTTTAACCCGGTTGTGACCGAGGAGAAGTCTGGGCTGCGGCTGACAGAGCACACTCTGCTGCACTTACCTCGCAGAAAGTGTGCTAAAAAAACAGTGCTGGGGCCCCCCCCCCCCCTCCGCCCATAGGCAGATGGGGAGAATCCCCAGCCCTGCTCACTGTGCACCTACCTCTCTGAGTCCCTAAGGATCACAGGGAGAGTGCAAGTGCCCATGCCCCACACTCAAACACTGACCCCGTGACTGAAGTGTGGAGGGCACCTGCGGGGTGGAGGCGTGCACTACTGGGCGCAGCCTCCTGACCCCCTGTAAAAACCGTGACATCAGTGGTTGACTAAAGGCTGACCTGCCACCAAATCCCTCATGGCAGGACGAGATGGCTGCTGGATACACTTTCACTGTTGAATGCGCCACCAGTAACTGTAAGAAGGATAAAATAGAGCCCAACTCACAAGATAGGGGCTCTATTCTCCGCTCCTCACACCATTGCTGGAATCTCAGCCACTTTGGCCTGTAACAGGCTGTGGTGGATCCAGCTCTAGCTGCCTGGATAGACTGAATAACGCTGTCAGACAATCCACCCTGTCTCAGCCTGTCCCTCTCAGGAGCCAAGCCTGGAGAGGACGGCCCAGAGTGGGTAACGCCCCGATTGCACCTGCCTCTTGAGACATTGCCCCCCAGAACTGGGGGATCGCCCAGGGCTGGCCCACCTTCATCTGTGTCATCTCTGAGTACCACAGAGCCCCGACGCGATCCGGTGCTACTAGGATGACTGCCAGACGTTCTCGCCTCACTCTCCCCAGGAGCGGGAGAATGAGACGCAGCGGTGGAAAGGCGTATAGCAGCTTCCTTGGCCATGGCTCATGTGCAAACGCGTCCACCCCCAAGGGCGGGTCGTCGCTCAGGGCCATGGAGAACCACAGGGCACAGTGGCTGTTGCGCCGGCTGGCGAACAGGTCCACTTCCGCTCTCCCGAACTGGGCCCAGATCTGCTTCACCACCTCCGGGTGAAGCGTCCATTCGCCTGGCAGGGGGCCGCCCCTCGACATGAGGTCGGCCCCCCTGTTCTCCAGTCCCGGGATATGGAGGGCTCTCAGAGATAACACCACCTCTGAAGCCCATAACCACAGCCTCTCCGCTGTGGTCAACAAGGCGGCGGAGAGGACTCCGCCCTGCCTGTTGATATAAGCCACTGTGGTGTCGCTCCTGACCATTACATGTCTCCCCTGAATTAGGGGCTTGAAATGCCGGAGGACTAACACTACTGCCCGTAGCTCTAGGAGGTTGCTGTGTCGAGACTCTGTCAGAGCCCAGCGCCCACCTATAGCCCTCTTCAGGCAGGTCCCTCCCCATCCTGTTCTGGATGCGTCCGTGAACACTGTGATGTAGGAGGTCACTCGTCCCAGTGGAGACCCCCTCCGGAGGTGATCCGGGGACCCCCAAAACCGGAGGTTGCCCTCCACTGAAGGGGGGGATGGTCACCAGCCGTCGTTTGTGCCTCTTGGGGTCCAAACGCAGGCTGGAGAACCACCTCTGCAGGCGGCGCATATGTAGTAACCCCAGCGGGACCACAATGTGAGCAGCCGCCATGAGACCCAGAGTCTGCATGACAGTTAAAGCTGTCACTGTTGCCCCCTGTCGCAGCCTGTGCACCGCCCGGAGAAGGGACGCACGTCTGCTCTCTGACAGGGTGGCGCGTAGCGCGTCTGCATCGAGCACCACTCCCAAATACAACGCCTGTTGGCGAGGTATGGGGGTGCTCTTTTTCCAATTGATCGCAAAGCCTAATTTGGTTAGGTGTGTGATCAATCGTGCTGTGCAAAACATTGCCTGTTCCCGGGACCCAGCCATGACTATGAGGTCGTCTATGTAAAAGAAAACTCTCATGCCGTGGGCGCGCAGCGGTTGAAGCGCTGTGGCCACACATTTGCTGAATGTGCGTGGGGATAGGGAATAGCCGAACGGCAGCCTGTTGTACTCGTAGGCTATCCCCTGGAAGGCAAAACGCAAAACGCAGATGGTTTTTCCTCTGTGCTCTGGAGCAATTTCTACATGAAAGTACACGTCTTTCAGGTCGATGGTGGTGAACCAATCGCCTGGCTGCACAAGCCCAGTAACTGTTTCATAGTTAACATGCGGAATTTCCTACAGGAAATGTGGCGATTCAGGCCGCGGAGATCTAGAATAGGTCTGAATTCCCCTGTCCCCCTGTACATGGAATATAGACCCTTTTCTCTGTGCTGAGGGTGCACAACAGACACTGCCTGTTTCTGCACCAGAGCCTGAATCTCTGCTGAGAGGAAACCCACCTCCTCCTGGGAAGACAGATTTACCTCTCGCATGCCCATAAAAGGAAAACTGGAGTGAATAGCCCCGTTTCAGCGTCCTGTCCATCCACCTTGTCAGTACACAGCTGAGTTTCCATTCCCCATAACATTGTGTTTATGGACAAGCCCTCAGCTGTGGGGCCGCAGCTATGAAGCTGTGATACGTTCCGCCGCAAAACTCCCCATGAATGGAAGATTTGCCCATGGAAGGACGACACAGAAAGGGCCGATTATTTACTGAGGTACCTGAACGCACCGCCTCACGCTCTTGTGTGAGTGGGCGCCCAACCATAATGCTGTTCTCACCACTACGGTAAACAGCATTAATCGGAGTCTTTATAGGCGTAGTGTGTTTTTACTAAGGTCCCTGAACGCACCGCCACGCGCTCTTGTGTGAGTGCGGGCTCCGCCATAATGCAGCCTTTACCACTACGGTAAACTGCATTAACTGGAGTCTTTGCTCTAGGCGTAGTGTGTTCTCTGACAGCAATACCCCGGCCATAATGTCCCTGTAACCGCATAGCGCTTTCCTTTAGATAGCACTCCCTGCGGTTCATCCCTCTCATCTGCGCATGCCCACTAGTCACCTCCTTTACAGGAGCTACAGCTGGGGCAGCGAATGGGGAATTTGTACGGTTAACATTGTGTGTAAGTGTAGCATTTGTGAAAACAAAAGACACTTAGATTTGGATTCAAATCAACCTCATTCTTATTAGAAAACGTAGTGATCTGTGCATTATACAGGGAGGAGGCGGGATTCGCCCTCTCGTCCCGGGCGGAGAGATTTTCTCCCCCCCGCCTGCCAGATCCGTGAAGACGGGCAGCCCGTCCCCGTGAGTGCTGGCACGCCGGTTCCACGGGGTGGGCCGAAGAGGTGGAGGGCGCCGCGGGCACGGGATCTCCGTGCCGGCACCTCTCCCTTCGTCTCACCGTCGCGCTGCGCTCCCTCGTCTGCAGGAAAGCCTGTGGAGGAGGAGCGCGCGCTGCGGTGACTCTTCTCTCTATTGAGGTCTTTGAACGCACCGCGGCCCGCCCTCGGGGGAGGGGGGCCGCGCGCGCCGTCACAATGCCGTCTCTTTGAAACGGACATTATGGGGAAAAGTGGAATTGTGGAGAGAGATGACTCTTACTCTGGGATAAATGCAATCGTTTTTACCTAATGCATTTTTCCCACACACACACACATCACTCTGGAACTAGAGTTTACAAACGTAAACCACCGTTCTCCTGCGGAGGTCCCTGAACGCACCGCGGCCACTCTTCTACGAGGGCCGCGCGCCCACGTATTAACGCTGTATTTCCCCTTCAACGGTGAAATGCATTAATCGGAGCTATTATACTAGGCAAGGTGTGTTTTCTGACAACAGCACGCCGGCAATAGCGTCTCTTGAACCCGCACAGTGCTTTGACAGCACTCGGTTTATTCCACTCACGTGCAGACGCCCACCTGCTGGCTCCCTATACTGGGGTTTACAGCAGGGGGCGGGGAGTGTGGGACAGTGTTTCTTCCTCTGGGGATGGGCAAGAAGCAGCCACGCTGCGATTACTCCTTATCCCGTGAGCAAGGAGGTCTCCTGGAGGTATGATAACTCTTTCTTCTTCTTTCAAACGTCTTATCTCTGCTTCAGATGTTGCCCACTCGCTGAAGAGAAAGGGATGATAGTCAGGAGGCGAGGCCTCCTTTTATACGGTGAGATGCGCGCGCATTCAGGTAGGCCCGCCCCGGGGCCGGCTACGTCTATAGAAATCTCAGTAGGTGAATGCTTGCATAGAGGGTAGTACCCATAGAGTCCAGTAGAGGGCGGAGCCTGTGAGAGATATAACTAATAACATGGTATTTTTCCAAATGATAACGGTATCACTGTAGGCTACATCAAGGTATTTACTTATTTTTCAATGATTGTACATTTATTTACATTTATACATTTTGGTCCCACAGAAAAACACCTGATCAGTGTTGGCCCTCATGAGTCTTATGTTGTAAAGGAATCCGAATGCATGAAACTACTGCAACATTACAGAAAGACATTTCACCAGCGTTGCTCGTACTCCAATAAGTGCTTTCTGTCGAGGTGGGGGGTTAAAGTACTTGTACCTCCTCGGGCAACAATTTTAGTTCGACAACATTTACGATAAATGTTTGTTTGGTCCACGTCACATTTTTTAAATCCCCAAAACCTCTGAACGACCTCAGCTCCTCTCCTCGGCACAAGTTCTTCTTGTGCTGTGTGTCCTATCTCCGATCTCCAGTCTCATGTTCTTCAGTGTCCATCTTTACATTCAGCTTCACATGTTGCTGCTACGCTTGGCGCTGTACCCCAGCATGCATTTCAGCGGTGTGGCAGTGAAAGGAGTCCCCAGGGAACTCCTTTCACTGCCGCACCGCTCGAGCGTCCTTCACCACTTTCAACGGCGAAGTCCCGCCCTTCTACTTCCGCCCCATGGGACCTTATTTCGGAAAAATTATGTGTTGAAGTCAATGGGGAGAGAAAACTTATCTTTCGATCCCGTTTGAATTGTGCCATATGATGTTTGTTAATCTTAAAAAAGCATTTCCATGTAAAAAAAAGGCAAAGTTTGTCGTAAAACTGAAAATATAAGACTATGAAAAATACGCAACTAGAAAGACTACAAATCCCAGAGTAAGAGTAAGTGATGTCATAATTGTTTTCCTCCTCTAAATATAAGAGATAGCTAAGATAACTTTAACAATATGCCTGTGTGCTTTGTACCAGGCTGTAATCATACCCGCAATGGGTCTTACTTGTTCTTTCGCTTCCCGTCTGATGAAAGGACCAGGAGTGGCTGGCTGGATCAAGTTAGCTACCTAGCTAGTAGCAAGCACGTTAGTTAGCATTACAGCCGGCTTAGCCTTGTCATTTTTATTAGCCTTAACATGAAGTAACATTAAGTTAACCAAAGTGTTAAACAGTAAGAGTAGTAGTCATATTTCGTGAACCCTTTGAAGAGTACTGTCACACTGGTGTGATCATTCTATAATACACCTTTAAGCCCGGATGCCCCCGGGGAGACATGCTAACGCTACATTAGCATCGGCGATCTTTTATTACTTCATGCTATCTGCACAAATGGTTAATATTGAACATTAATAAGATCAGGCAGTTCAGGGAGAATCGAAGGCAGGCAGGCAGGCAGGCAGGCAGGCAGGCAGGCAGGCAGGCAGGCAGGCAGGCAGGCAGGCAGGCAGGCAGGCAGGCAGGCTGGCAGCTTTGCATGACATTCTGGACGTGTTTCATTGTGGTGATAGTGAGGGTAGTCAATCCCTTGTTTGGCAAGACAGTAGTGACGGCCATCTTGGTGACGTGTGTTGTTGTGGGAGACCAGAGATGTAGTTCATTGAGCGGTTTCACACAAAAAAAGTGTTACTTCACAGTTTTACGGCAAACTTTTTTTTTTAAATTGACAAACATAATATGTGTAATTCGTGGCACAATTCAAATGGGATCGAAAGATAACGTTTCTCTCGCCATTGACTTCAATACATAATTTTTCCGAAATAAGGTCCCATGGAGGTCCACCGGAAAGGGAGGGACTTCGCCTCTCTATATGAAAAATGATATGGTAATAAGTTCACTGTATTCGGTGTGACAAAGTAAGACAAATGTCAAAATACCAAGGGGGTTTAAAGGAAACTGAATAAAACAACGTGGTGGGGGGACATTTATATATTACTAGTGACTGTTTTCTATTGTGCAAGAGAAAGAGAGAAAAAATTAACAGAAGAACAATAATGATTCAAATTCTGCAAATAGATCAATTCAATAAATGCAGGTTAAGCTCTTTGTAGACGAACAGTGCAGAGTGTAAGAGTTGAAGTGTTGGGCAGCAGAAAGCAGCTGGGATCAGATCTCATGTTTGTCTCTCTGTCATGTCCTCTGTCAGGTCTTCTCTCTGGACAAAGCTGATGCCTTTCAGGACTTCTACAGCCCCTTCAAGGCTGACGTGAAGAACAACATGCTGGAGCGCTGTGCTGAGCAGATGGCCACCCTGTGTGTCACGCTCAAAGAGTACCCTGGAGTCCGCTACAGAGGGTGAGCCCAGCAACAATCTTGCATTGTCTTGTTTTTTTTGCGATTATGTTACAAATGTTAATGCACTCTTATATATAGCATTAGTGCATTTGGTGTCTCTTGCCTCTGCCATTTTTTCTTAATGAGTGGATAAATCTATAAGGATGTTCAGCCTACTTTCCTTTCTTTGAAGTAACTCACATGCAAAGCCAATTCTTTGTGGCTTATTCACCTTAAACTGCAGAGTGAACCAGTATTTTGAATTTGCCTATTCTTAATTTCTTAATGATCTAACAAGTTGTATACTGTGGTACTGTCACAAAACCTGCTTGTCTGAATCACTGCAGCTTTAGAGCAGTAAATGAAGCAGTTGTTGTGTGATGCTGTGTGTCGGCTTAGGGATTACAAAGACTGTGCAGTCCTGGCTCAGATGCTTCAGGAGAAGCTCGACGGCTACAAGGCTGATGACCCTACCATGGGAGAGGTAGGGAAGTGGAGATAAATGACTTAGTTATTAATGGTGAACAATGTGTATATGTGTACATTTATTTGTGTTCATAAGGTCCTATAAGACAAACATCATTCCACAATAATCTGGCACAGAAGTATGTGACATGAATCCTCCCCAAATGGGGATATTTCAAACATATAATATCAATTTCTTGATATGATCAGACTTCAGTTGCACCGAGTAGAAATGGTATGCTGCATCACATGATTGACTGGCCGTTATTAGAGGCCATCAGTATCATAGGTATGGTGTTTATAGTTATGATATTTGATTTATTTATTTAATAGGGACACTTCATATCAATAGACTTAGTTAGCCAAGAGGCTGGTTTTCCTTTTGCATCATTTTGATCCTGTGTTAAATCTTAAGTCAACTGTGAGTTGCCTGCCAAAGCAGAGTGTATGTCACTTGGTAATTACATTATTTTTTAAATAAAACACTTAGGGATACGTATTTTAATCACAACCATGATCTTTTTCATAAGTCTAACAACATAGGTTTGGCGCCTAAACCTAATAAAAAAATGAATTATGATTAAATAAAGTTGCTTATGCACATTTCGTCCTACCGGAGTAACATGCTATATTAAACGCAACTTTAAACGGCCATTCAATGGGCTGCTAACATGGGAAATGTGAACATGGGAAATGTAGCAATATTAAATGATGAGTCAAGTACAATGTGTGTCATACTTCCACAGTGTGTGTAGTGTTTCTTTTCTGCTCTGATGCCTTCAGGGTCCAGACAAGTCTCGTACTCAGCTGCTCATTTTGGACCGTAGCTTTGATCCCGTGACACCCATCCTGCATGAGCTCACCCTTCAGGCCATGTCCTACGACCTGCTGGGCATCGAGAACGACGTGTACAGGTCAGACTCTACAGAGGAACAGCTGGGAGTCATAGCATTGTCCATATCTGTATTTGAATGTATTAATTGTCGTGAACGTCACTTAGTTTGGGTATACTCAGTGGTGGGAAGTAACTAAGCCCATTCATTTTAGTACTGTACTTAAGTAAAATGTTGAGGTACTTGTACTTTACTTGAGTATTTCCATGATATGTTACTTTGTACTTCAATTCAATTCAGAGGTAAATAGTGTACTTTTATTCCACTACATTTATGTAGTACCTTAAGTTACTTTGCTAATACAGATTAATGATCAAGCAGTATACAAAGTCATTAAAACTAGCCGCACCTTTACCAGCTTTGATAACACTTTAATGATCAATAATTATTATAATAATATAATTATTCTGAAATGGACCTGGATGGAATGGATCTGCACAATGACTACTTTTACTTTTGGTACGTTAAGTATATGTTGATGCTAAAACCTTTGTACTTTAATGGAATAACATTTTGAGGGACTTTGCAGGACTCTTACTTGTAACTCTGGTACTTTTACTTAAGTACAAGATCTGAGTACCAAAAACAACAAAACAATAGTGCACTGCACAACATAAAGAGAACATGTTCTTCAGTGTTTATGTGGTTAGACTCTCTCTTTCAGATGCACACACACTGTTTGTAAACCTCTCTCGCCCTCTCTGTCAGTTTTGAGACCAGTGGGATGGGAGAGACGAGGACAAAGGAGGTCTTGCTAGATGAGGATGATGACCTGTGGCTGACTCTGAGACACAAACACATCGCAGAAGTGTCAACGTGAGGGCTTTTGACTTTCTCCTCACACATGCACACCCCCACAGCTCCGTCACAAAGCCTCCTCCCTTATTTTCCTCGTCCATTTCTGTCTTGTGTGTCTGCACAGGGCTGTGACTCGCTCTCTGAAAGAATTCTCTGCCAGCAAGAAGATGAACACTGGAGAAAAGGTAGAGGACACACACACACACACACACACACGCACGCACGCACGCACGCACGCACGCACGCGCGCACACACACAACACACACACACACACACACACACACACACACACACACACACACACACACACACACACACACACACACACACACACACACACACACACACACACACACACACACACACACACACACACATACACAGGCGACTGAAGAGGGTATGGCTGGGGTAGGCTACAGCCATACCAAGAAATGGCTTAGCCCCGCCTTAGCCCCACCTTAGCCCCACCATGAAAAGTGATGCAAATTAAATTAAATAATAAGCAAAATGCTAAATGTTGAGAACACGGCTTGCGAAAATATACGGGTCGTGTCCACAACACACAAACTGATCCTGCTGTAACAACAAGTGCACGTTACTGATGCAATATGGTTGAGACCATTCAGGCTTATGCTAGAAGAGGGGTGCAAGGAATAGTCTAAGTAGTGGGGGAGTTTTATACACTAAAGGTGTGGAAATTCATTGCAAATACTGACTTGAGCCCCACCACTGTATGGGTTAGCCCTACCATAGATTACCCAACAAAAATACCCTGGCGCCGCAACTGCCTGTAGGTGGCACTAGAACAGAGCATTTGAAATTGAGGCCAACAAACTTAGACCTGGACATCACTCCCACCATGACTAAAGTGTATCACTCCTCTGCGTCTTTCAGACCACCATGAAGGAACTGGCTCAGATGCTGAAGAAGATGCCTCAGTATCAGAAAGAGCTCAGCAAGGTAAGTGCTGGCGTGTTTGTGAGCATATACAGTTACAGCATGTCATGTATACACTATATATATATTAAACACACATTTTGTATATCCAAGACTTGGAAGCGGTCAACTTTATTGTGCAGATTTCCAAAAGTGTATTTATGAACCCTGAAACAAAGCCTGTTTTTTGTGTTTGTGCTGAGTTTGCTCTGTGTCACTAACATCAGCTCTCTTCTCTGGCCTATTCAGTATTCAACCCATCTGCATTTGGCTGAAGACTGTATGAACCGCTACCAGGGCACTGTGGACAAACTCTGTCGTATAGAGCAGGTAAATCAGACAGACGTTTTGAATTAGATATGTTTCCAGGGTAATAGTGTGGAAATTAAGGAATTTAGCTCTGAACGGCATTCCACAATATGACAAAATATGAACAGATACAGTCTGAAAGTAGAAGGCACTTGGAGGGTGCAGACCATGATGCACTAACATGCTGATTGGATCATTTCATGATTTGGAGAGTCATTCTTCCAAATGTGGTGTGTTCATGCGCTACATTATAATTTGGAAACAAAATGGACTCCAAAAAGATGTGTTGTATTTACTGCTCACAGCTGTTTCTGATAGTTGTTGTTCAGATTTGAGGGGGTGTCCACATGAATTTCACCAGTTTCATGATCATCACACCTAATGGAACTTATCCCTGACAGACAGTTGTATTCATCATCTTGCATATCTGTATAGCATTATTAATTACTCAGAGGAGCAGTGTGTAGGATTAAACGGGGCAAAAATAAAATGTATTATTCATTGTTATACTTTTAACTAGTCATGACCAAAAGAATGAGATTGCGAATGGCCGGCATCTCCCTTAGTGTTGAGGTGAGCAGCTCAGTACTCTGGGAGGGGCTCGGAGTAGAGCCGCTGCTTCTTCACGTACAAAGGAGGCTCCACAGTGCCAGTCTGCCCCATGGATGTACACAGAGAACTGGATTGGTGTTGGAAGTGGGACTCAGTGGAGCAGGAAATGGCTGCCTCTAGAGAGAGAGAAAGAGTCTCCAATCTGCAGAGTCACGGCCGCTCTCGGATCAGTCATATGAGTTTTACAACTGTTAGACCCTAATGATTTAAATGATGGCTTACATAGTGTTCGTACTGGGTAGTCCTTATAGTTCATCTTTTTACAGTCGTCTCTTGGCCGATATAAGTCAAACCCCATTGGAAACATGACATGCTGCCCCCTTTTTTTCTTTGAAGCATGTGGCCAGACAGCACACATCGCACCTTTTTAAAGCGTGCAGATGAATTTGATTTAGACTCGTACTGAGTGTTCTGCTCGTTTGTTGATAGGATGAGACCGCTCCCTGATGACTCCACATACAGGCTCTTCTCTAACTTCTAAGCTACATTTCTGCACAGAACTTCTTATCAGTATTGTTCAAACGGAACTTAAGTTAAGCTTTGCTTTCTTCTGATTGTTTTCAAGGATCTGGCGATGGGCATAGATGCAGAGGGGGAGAAGATCAAGGATCCCATGAGGCTCATTGTACCCATTCTACTGGATGCCAACGTCACTGTGTCGGACAAAATCCGCATTATCCTGCTCTACATTTTCCTTAAGAATGGTCAGATATTCACTGTTCCTAATGTTTTTCACATCAAATCCTTCCAAGGTTTATTTCTCCTTTATAATGACAAAAGCAGAAAGGAACAGTTAGAGTGCTAAATGTGCATGCAATCACATTTTTTTTGTTTCTCCACCGCTGTTCACTTTGAGTTTTCCTCCTTGGTGCATGCTGCATGTGTTAATGTCTGTATGTGTGCCAGGTGTGACTGAGGAGAACCTCTGTAAACTCCTTCAGCATGCTAACATCCCACCAGAGGACAGTGACATCATTTCCAACATGGCCCACTTGGGCATTCCCATTGTCTCTGAGGTGAGCCGAGTGTCTCATCATGAACCGAATGAAGCTTTGTCTCAAGCAGGATCCTGTCTTGACATGTCATCAAATCCCTCATACAGTACTTCTTATATTGCATAATATAGAAAGTCTTAAGCTTGTCTTATTCTCAACATTTTATAAATGGAATTGTGTGAATAACAATGTGAGACCCTACACAAAAGCACATTAAATATTGTTAACTTGTTTATTATATTTGAAGACCAGTCATTATCAGAGTCTCTTGTCCTTGCTGCTGGTGTTCTGTATTCTGTCTGTGGCATTTAGCCCCAAAAGTAATAACCTCCACCAGTGTGATCAGCTCTGTTTCTTCAAAGGTGATCGTGAAGAAAGCCAAGAAGCCGGATCGTAAGGAGCGAGTCAGTGAGCAGACCTACCAGCTGTCCCGCTGGACGCCTCTGGTCAAGGACCTCATTGAGGTACTTCTCACGCTATTATCAGACATTATGCAGTAACTTCACGCTTCAATAACAGTTATTACTGTTATACAAAGTTCTGATTTCACATTAGTTTCTCAAACTAAGTCATGTGGCCTTCAATTGGGTAATGTGTAAAATAAGACAATTAGAGCATAGTCTTTTCATATTAGTGATATACCGTATTATGCTTGGCTTGGTCATCTTGAAAACGTTCTGACAGTTTGAGCTCACACGCCTACTTCTCTTTGATGAGGCTTAGCCCCATATGGACTGGATATATGTCTCTGGTTGGGTGATTTTAACATGAACTGTTCTGGTCAGTAACTTTTGACATGTGATGATTAACAATAATAACAGCCATAATTACATACAGAGAGCCAGAGCTCTTGGATAATATCAGCTGAGTTGCTCCACTCGATGACTGTTGTTTACTGTTTGGTTTGCAGACCTTTTAGTTGTTGTTTGGTGATTAACATAAGCTATTTTTTAGCCATTAGCCTCTACGCTATTGCCTAGCAAGTGTTGACAGACACTTTGGCACAATAGATAAATGGTAAGAGACACTGAATCAAGAACAACATGTTTGGATAGTGAGTGCCTGACTGTAGAGTAGCTGAGATGAACCTTATTTTTCCCTGGTGCATTCAGACAGCGCAGCTACAGTGGGAAATGAACTAGTTTCAATATCGTATCGTTTAGGGATGGAATATTTGACTAACCATCCTCCCTGTGATGTTAATCCCGTCTGAATGTGGCTTTATTTTGGGAAAGATGTGTAACATGCTTGAGTCTGTCTTTGGTGCAAACTGTAGTAATTGAAATGTGTTCCCACAGGATGCCATTGAGGAAAAACTTGACCCGAAGCAGTACCCGTACATCTCCCAGCGACAAGCATCTTCCAAAACCAGCGCTCCATCAAGGTGTGTGTTCTTCAATACATGGAGCTTACACTTTGTGTAACGCTTTAAAATACAATGAATTGCTTTTATAACTTTATAATATATCACAACTTAGTAGATGAGAACCATGCAGTTATTTTGCAGTTAATGCTTCTGTATGCTCTTGTTTTACATCTTCCAGTGCTCGCTATGGTAACTGGCATAAGAACAGGGGCCCCACAGAGATGAAGACAGGGCCCAGGATCATCGTTTTCATTATTGGAGGGATGACGTACAGTGAGATGCGCTGTGTGTATGAGGTCACACAGGCCAATGGGAAGTGGGAGGCTGTGATCGGTGAGTTCACTGGACAGAAAGTCCGTACACTCTACTGAAGAGTACACAACATGTTTGGAATAACCATTTTTATATGACATTACATTGTTAAATCTAGAATGCTATTCCTATCAAGGTGTCTAAAACTCCATTTCAACATTACTGCTACATTTTGTTGCATACATCGACTAAATACAGTTCAAATGCTATAATTATAATTTGCATATTGTACATTCAGAAAAGGTTTCAGCTAGTGAAGTATAGATGCTTAGTTTAATTCGAAAAGATTATTTACAATGACACAATATCCTCATAGTTCTCTGGGTTGTATTATTCATTATTGTTCTTAATGTGGTTTGACATGTTGGCTCCAGCCTTGGCTGACATGCTCTTGGATAAATCAGTGTTTGGATCTTTATAAGGGTCTTTGTGGATATGGAAGATAGGGTTGCATATCGTTGACTTTTTTACGATACCGATACCGATACCACTGAACGATACCGATACTCAACCGATACATATCGTGATACTTTCATGTTGCATAAGGGAACAATTGAATCATCCCGCAGTTACTCCCATGAGGCGCTTTATTATATAGTTAACATGTCAAATTAATATTAAATTCAATTGTGGGACTTGGATCTTTTAGTACTGAACAAACAATGAAAAACACGTTATCTATGAAGAAAACTGAATCTGCAATATCATTTATATCAACCATCAGGCGTGAATAGTACATCTTGTCAATGGAAAAAGAAAATGGCACCAGTATAATCAATATTCAACCTGAGATTCGACTGACCAGAGAACACATAAAGGATCATGAGATCTCGGCATTGCACATAAAACAAATAGCATCATTAAAATCAACATTTTCCTGATGAAAGAAAACTAATCCCATCACAGTTCAGTTTTGTGCATTCATCTTCAAGAAGATGAGCATATCTGCTCTCTGGATCCAAACGGGCCCTTTCACAGCGTAGGATATCACCTGCTGAACTGAACACTCTCTCGCTTTGCACGCTGCTTCCCTGAACACAAAGGTACTTGGTTGCCATACGAGACAGCATTGGTTGGAGGTTGGATGGGTTGCCACCTTTCCCAGAAATAAACTTCTTGCAGTGGTTACAGACCCCACCATTCAGACTGGCAGTGGTTACAGACCCCACCATTTAGACTGGCAGTGGTTACAGACCCCACCATTCAGACTGGCAGTGGTTACAGACCCCACCATTCAGACTGGCAGTGGTTACAGACCCCACCATTCAGACTGGCAGTGGTTACAGACCCCACCATTCAGACTGGCAGTGGTTACAGACCCCACCATTCGGACTGGCAGTGGTTACAGACCCCACCATTCAGACTGGCAGTGGTTACAGACCCCACCATTCAGACTGACAGTGGTTACAGACCCCACCATTCGGACTGGCAGTGGTTACAGACCCCACCATTCAGACTGGCAGTGGTTACAGACCCCACCATTCAGACTGGCAGTGGTTACAGACCCCACCATTCAGACTGACAGTGGTTACAGACCCCACCATTCAGACTGGCAGTCATATGCAGCCACACTTTAGATTTTCTGAAGTGACTCGTTTGCGGAGTTTCACGGCGAAATTTACATCGTAATTCCGAGGGTTTGGGCGCGAGTTTAAGGATATTACGCCTCACTTTTATAAGAAAAAAAAAAAAAAAAAAAAAATTGAAAAAAAAAAAGAAGAAAAGTATCGAAAACCGGATCTGATTTCGGTACGGTATACCGTAGCCGCCAGTAACCGGTATTTCGGTAATACCGGGAACCGGTATGCACCCCTAATGGAAGAGTTTCCTGTGAAGCTTGACTTCAATGTTACACTGACCCCTGAGACAGTCCTATTTATTAGTAACCTGTAACTTTTAATACCACTGTGAATTTAATATTGTTGTTGTCATGATCAGTTTAATATATTAAGTTTATTACGTAATAAACCAAGATTCAGGATTGAGTCCTTGCTAAGCTTTCAGGCTGTTCTCCCCATAGGTTCCACCCATATTCTGACCCCCCCGAAGTATCTAAAGGAACTACAGCACCCAGACTTCCTTGACCCCAACGCCCCTCCAGAGGGCACAGAGGGCCCAGAGGGCCCAGAGGAGCCGCCTGCAGAATGAAAACACATTTGGAAGTAAATACACAAATCATGCTGTGGTCTGTAAATCCCTGTTTGCCAACCCCCCCACCCAGTGAGCCATTGATCCCTGCTCCAGCTGAGCCTGGCCCTCCTGCTCCATATCTATATCTTGAAGCAATATGACAGCATTTTGGGCTTACCTCTCAGAGAATATATTCTCTAATAACGTGCATGTCTTTATAGTGGATCACTGTCTCTACTGCTCCCTGCTAACTCTGCATATACTGTACATGCTGTTGGAGCACATACAGCTGACTACATTTATATAGTGATGATCTAATCGTAAAGACCAGTCAAAGGGCTTTTCCACTCATTCATCATACACTGGAGGCCGAGGCTGCCACAAGGTGCCGTGTGATCAGGAGAGAGGACCAATCACAATCATCAGCCATCAGGAGCACTGTACAGTTCATTACCCTGTCAAAGGACACTTTAACATGTTGACTGCATTGGCTAGGGATTGAAAGTATTCATGTTTCAGTTTTTACAAAGATAGTTTTATGACCAGGGACCAGTGAATGTTTTTGTTTGATTTCCGAGTTAAGCAGTAAAGTAGAATTACATGTGTTCACTAAGTGGTAAAGTGTGGCTCTGTGTTCCCTCCCCAGTCAGTAGAAAGACTGAGCAGCAAACATACAGTATGTGTGCAGCAGGGTTTCCGTTAGCCGGTAATTACCGGTTTTTAGCTGGTAACATTTATTAAAAACCGGTAAATTCAAAACCTGCCGGTCAAAATGTCCGGTAATAATTAGGATCGATCGGCCGCCGATCATTGTCGGCCGATATTCACTCTTAATAGTTTGATCGGTGCTCTCTATAAAGGCCGATCGGGAGAGCTGGATCTGATCGATATGGACATAAACGTGAGTGAAGTATAACCGGACGCCAGAGAGAGATCAGATCAGCTGCTGAGTCTGACGGGCCGTCTCCACAGCAGCGTTAAAAAATCTTGAAACGCTTCTGCCCATTCACTTTGAATGGGTTGACGTCACTTTCCCTCACTTTTCGCCGGAATGCATTGTGGGCAGGCGAGCGGAGATTCTCAGGATTTTCAAGATTCAAAGTTGAACAATGTTCAACTTTTGAAGCTGAGGTGGAAGCGGCAGCCAATCAAATCCCGTGTACGCAAATCTGGCAGTTCAAGCTCTAGCCAATCAAACGGCGTGTATGCTGGGAGAGATATACCGCAGATCATTTCCTCATATTCCAAAAAATGGAGGAGAAATTAGCGGTAGCGAATCAATCACCCGGTGCTTTATGACCAGACCTACCGGGATATAAACCGGAGGAGCCAGGCATGGAGGGAGGTGGCAGAGACAGTGGTATGTTTTCGCCTGTTTTGGGGAGTTTATATCCAGTTTACTTCGGGCTTTTTGGCTTCGTATGTCGCGGGCGGGAGATTCATGTGATTGGTTGATCGCAAAAAAATCCCCAAGCCTCAGATACGCCCACCTCCAAGATTTTTTTAACGCTGCTGTGGAGACGGTCCGTGACGGAGACACGCAGCTCTGCATGATCACCTGAAGCCCCGCCCACTGTTTAGCGAGCTGCATGAGAAACTGACGGGCTGTCAGGAGAGAGGGAGGGAGAGAGGAAAAAGAGGCTCCGTTGCTCCCGTGTTATTATCCAAAGTTAATGTAAACTTTTGAATAATGTACTTCATCTACTATAAGTAGTTTGTTTGAATGTAATAACTATGTTGTTTGTTGTTTGTGGAAGCGCATCATTTATTGAAAAATGAATCTGAACTTTTCGATCTGTTACGATTATAAACTGAAGCAATATAAAAATGAGCCCCATTAACTGAGTTTTAAACATCAGCATATCCGGTCATAGTCCGGTAATTACCTGCTAACGGAAACTCTGATACACAATTCTTATTATTATTATTGAAACATGACCGGTAAGTTTCAAATTTGTCCGGTAAAATTAATTATTTCCGGACACTTGACCGGCAAGAAACAATCCTAGCGGAAACCCTGGTGTGCAGAGTGACTCCATGCCTACACAGTTGTATATCTTGTGGTATTATGCTCCTGTTCCAGAGGCTTTAGTCAAGCAGTAACAGGTTTTCTGGCATGAAATAAAACACAATCTCTTCATGCTCTCATTGAACAGTATGTCCCTTATTGCCCAACTTCACAGAAAAAAGTTGTTAAACTGGACGAGAGAAGGCAAACGTTTCTGACATGCATATTTCCCCTTCCCTTATCTGCTCAGACACCATGTGCTTCCAGCATTAGTGTCTGAACACAAGTAAATCAACAGTTGAACAGCCATAATATACACAAGGAGAAATATACACAAGCACTCAGATAATAATGCTTCCACCATGGCTGTACTATCCTCGACATGAGTAACCAACATCTTGCATGTTAAGCTTAAAACTTAAATTCATTTGCACAAAACGTCAACAAAACTAATGATCAAAATCGTGCTGCAATAATATAATCCTTGAAAGATGAAATATGCAGTTCATTTGGGTTTACTTTTGGCATTATTGGTGATTACATAAATAACATTCTTTGGGCATCAAAATATGATGGATCGGAGGAATTAAAAATAGGAAGATGTGATATATGGTGTGTCTTTGGTGAATAGATGTGTGTGTGTCCAAAGTTTGGCTTCTAAAGCTTCCAGTTGACGAGAGAAGCACTATGTCACCGGCTCACACAGCATTCATAAAACCAGGTAGCACGATCAGCAGGTAGCAGCTAAACTAGTCGTTGTTTTCCCTAAGATTCCCTTCACCAAATTCCACTTAAAAAAACCCGGACAACAATACACAAGAACCTGAAGAGCCTGAATCAGAATCAGAATACCTTTATTAGTCCCACAGAGGCGAAATGTACGTTGTTACAGCAGAAAAAGAGCCACAGACAGCTTAATGTTACATATGTCACATGCATTAAAAAGTATTAAAGTAAAAAAAAAGTTATGATATAATAAAAAATATAATAAAAATAAAAAGTTACACAATTTACAAAATACACATCCTGTAACAGGTCTTAGGATTTAGCAGCCAGGTATATATTGCACAGTTATTAACGGCATATATATATATATTGCACATATAGCACATATTGCATACTGTATAGTTGGTTGGTATTTAACAGCAAGGGGTGTTATAGTCTGTGTGTGTGTGTGTGTGTGTGTGTGTGTGTGTGTGTGTGTGTGTGTGTGTGTGTGTGTGTGTGTGTGTGTGTGTGTGTGTGTGTGTGTGTGTGTGTGTGTGTGTGTGTGTGTGTGTGTGTGTGTGTGTGTGTGTGTTAGATACAATCATTAATAAACAGTCACACTTTATTTTGTGTTAAAACTGACAGGGAGTGCACCTGAAATGTCACTAAGAATTCACGGTTGCATCAGGAAACTGTGTACACTAGCATGGTAGCAACCAGTTATGCTATATGGGCCCCAAAAACATGAAATGATGTGCCCATTGAGCATCTATAGTTATCTATATAAGTTACAAGTTACTCTTCTTTACAATATCCATAGTAAACTAACATGGATATTTAAACTTACAGTACAGGATATAACTGGCTGTTTAACCTGGGTTTAAATCAAGAATATATTGTTGTTGAATTTTATTCGATGATTTAAAAAAACACCTGATTATTTTTTGCCAATGCTTTTGAAGTTCTCAGTTACTGTGATGTGTTAGCAATTGTCCATGATGGATGTAATTCCTGGAGTTACCGGGCAGTTCAGGTGCTCGCCCAGTCACTCTATGGTTAATAAACCATAATAAACTGAAATGATCCTTTAATCAAAAAAGAAAAACCCATGTATGATTTATTATAGTGTTCTGAGTTGACAAACAGATATTAAAAAGGGGCTTTCCTTTAATGATGTCTACGTTATTATCATTACAATACTTCTCTAAGGTAATTCGACTAAAAAGTGATCATCCCACATGTTCTGTCTTCCAGGATCCCTGCATCTTCACCCCTTCTCGCCTTCTGAAAGCCCTCAAAGACTTGGAGCAGTGGTCAGTCATCAGCCCTCAGCAGAAACAACAGACCCCCCCAGCATGATGCATCACATACATGTTGTTTAAGATTCAGTTGTTGTTTACTTATAAAACCCAACAGTTTTTAAGATTTATGACTGTGTTGATGTTGATCACATTTTGTCCGACAATCTTTTAATTCTTTGTAATGTTGTCTACTGTCTATTGTGGGAAGTTATTTTTTTGAAAATAGATGTATGTGAATTAGGTTAGATGATCAGATGAGATTCAGGGAGTATGGCTGTACATGAAAGCTGCTTCCAGAGTATACTGGGACACAGATATAACAAAACATGCTTTGACCTTTTCTGTGGATATTCTAGAAGCTGTCCTCTACCAATCATCTATTTTCCTCTGTTTCATGTAGTGCTTTCCTTACTGAAGCAACCATGCCATTCAGTACAATCATATTTTCATTAATGTTTCGGAAAACTTGGAAATGCCAACATAGAGCCCCTGAATATATATGTAGCTGTAGATCGAGCTTTGGAGAGATGCATACAGTGTCGTTGGATTGTCTCATGCATGTGTCAGTTAACATATGTGTGTTGTTCCTGTAGAGATTCAGTTTGCTTTTGGTTTCCTGTGTTTGACCATTATGATGTGATTGATTATTGTTGTGTAGTGATTCTCTTTAACTAGTAATCCACTGTGTATGAAGAGAGATGTCAGTATTATGACGAGTATGTTCTTGTACGTTCAAATGGATGAACAAAACTCACAGGATGTGAGTTAGCTAATAAACTGCTTCCATATAGCTCTTCCCTTGGTTGTTTTTAATGTCTCTCCTGTGTGGTCTGAATGAATAGGAAACGCTCATTAGCTCTCCAAAGCACAATGTGAGAGTGTACAGCATACTGCATTCAAGTAGAAGTCGAGTCACAAATGTGTCTTTATCTTTGCGTATAACACCCTCTATCCTTTTACAGAGTTTTAAAGCAAATTGATTTAGTTTACAGAGTTCAGGTCAGTGTTTTTATTCTGCATATAAAGTCATGCAACATTAACCTGGCACTCTCGTGATATACTAACCAATCATGACAACCATAAAGATGGAAATGTTTAAGTGAAGTTCAAGTACCTCGACAATGAACTCAACACTTCATTTGGTATAAACTCATGAATATTAGTCAGAATACATCACCATAATTCTGTCATCAGTCATGGTACATTGAGTATTTAGGAGATTAGCCTTGTTAAATAATACTCTCCGAAAGGACAGCTGTTATTCGTCATGTAGCCACTGGAGGGAGCCTTTGCCAAACTAAAGCTAAAGAAAGCTGTTAAAGCTCGACAGCTGAGGCCTTCTTTCTGAGAGCATGTGATGTCAGCAGCACAGCTGTGATTAAAGGCCATTTTTAGAGTTATTTACTAGTTATTTCTCTGTGGGCATCCGACCAGTGAACCAGCAGTGGGAAGCCGTGGAACACCATAAATAATGCTCTGCTATCTATCTGGTTGAGGATCTGTTTATGTAACACTGTAGTCTGCGAAGCCCCAAGGCAAAAAGGCAGTATAATACTTTATGAATCATTTTAACTCTATGGAAACCAGTATCCTGAAGAGTTGGAGAAACCAACAATTCATAGAGGGGCAGATTCATAGAAGTCAAAGTCCAAAGGTTAATTCTCAAAGCCAGCCATTGATAAATCAAGGAAGTCAGTCAGGAAAAGGCCAAACTCACGCATGGAGCAGCCACACCCCAACTTCATGTCCAAGCCTATAGCACATAACTAAAGATAATGTCTTGTAACACGTTTAGTGTCTAAATTCTGCTTCACCTTACCCTCAGATGTTACAGAGGGCAATCCAATCTTTACTGCTCTTGTGAAACTTATCTACAAATAATTGTACTGCTTGGTTCATAGAGCCAACAAATGTTTTATAATTAGTTGGTAGAACCTTAGGCTGCACTCGAATTGTCAGTTTAGCTTAGGAACCTTCCTAACGGAGTGAAATGACCCGGAAGTACCTCAGTGGCAGCCATGATAAGAGCCGTTCGAATTCTCTAGATCAGCGGTTCCCAACCTTTTTCAACTCAGGGCCCACTTAAAAATCAAAAAAATGTTCGCTGCCCACATTCAACCATAAACAATACGGAGGCTAAATAAAGTTCTGATTGGTCAATTCAGAACATGTGACATGTTGTGAATCCAGTAGAACAGACCGCTGTCAAGGACTGTAATGACCGTTGCTAAGGAGGATCAAGAAAGAAAGGAAAAGAGGTTAAAATAAAAAATAAATCTTAATAATGAAAATGTTTCCACACAAATCATAATGTTTGGCAGATTATTTGGCGGCAAATATTGAATTTACATTTACACCCTTTAATATTTTATTTGGGCTTTTAGATGAAGACCGCACACAGTTAATAAATACAACTATTCTTCTGGCTAAAATACATATTTTTTAAATTCAATCAAGGAGTAATCTTAATTTAAGGTGTTTGAAGAGTAGATAAAAAATACAACTTCTTTTGAAAAAAATGATTGCCACAAAAAATCAAAGGGTGGCTCAACACGCCATGACATGGGAAATAATTAGCTCTAACGAAGAGTGGGATTAAAGGAACAATAAATATGCTTGCCATGTTGTGTTTTTGGGGGTATTTTTGTTTGTGAAATGTTGAAGTGATCCTACTGTCTGTATCTTTATTTCTCCTGTTTTTGTTTTGTTTTTGTCTGAGATGGGAATGTCATCTCCTATATGTTATTGTTATGTCCATGTTTGTGTCTTTAGCCTGTACAAAATTTAAAAAATAAAAAACCTGCTGCTCTAGATCAGGGATGGGCAACTTGGATGGTGGTGGGGGCCACATCATTTATGTACTGGCCACCAGGGGGCCGCAGATTCACTTGGAACACACACACACACAAATTCCATGTATTGTATGCAATTATTAACAAATATACTAAGTCGGACATCTTCATTGACATTTTACAATCTTTCAGGGAACATCCTCTAATAAGCTCACTAAACAAATATCAGTTCACAGAAATGTTATTTAAATGTCCCATGTCATGGCCATTTCTACTGATCATAATTCCATTGTTGAGGTCTACTAGAATAGATTTATATTGTGCAATTTTCCAAACTCACATTGGTTTCTCATACAGCATCTCTGTATAGTATGTGTATTCACTCTCTGTCCTACACGGCTTGTTGGAGCTCCTGCCCCCCCCCTGTGAGCCCAGTGTGCTCTGATTGGTCAGGACGTTGAGAGGCTCGTTGCTGCGAGCTGCTGCGAGGAGCAGACAGGCTTCCGTGTCGGCGATACAGCGAGAACAAGTGAAACTCATCCTGAGCACACACAAACACTCACAGCCGAAGTAAAAACAATAAGTATGGCTTGATATTGAGTAAGAAAAAGGTTTATAACGCTGTGAGCATGGGTCTGCGGAGAGCATTTCTCCGCGATCCCAACGTAGTAGCCCGAAAAACGTTTACCCATTTAAACAGTCGTGGTAGATACCTTGTTTGTTTTAAACATCATAAATACACAAACAACAATGAATACTTACAGGTTGTGTACCCGAATCTCCCACTGGTCCAAACATATGGGCTCAGAACAGTCTCATAATACACACATGCACACAGAAGGATTCACACTTGTATTTCATGATCCGCAAAAGGATTCACACTTGTATTTCCGGATCCACACTTGTGTTTGTCAATGCACACACAAATGTGTTCCGTTTCATATACATGTAAATAAAATCCAAATACAGAAAAAAGTTTTACATATGTATTTTTGATCCTCACATATTTGTTTTCCGTTTAAAACCGCTGCACCTACAAACACAAACCGCTTTCTGTGCATGGATCGCTGTGCATTCGTGTGTGGGTTTTTTGAGACTCCCCTGACGGTCACCCGATTCGTACTTGTAATTTTTTCTATCTATAGCCAATCAGATGTCTCCTCAATTCTAAGCCAATCACATGAGCGCGCCCCCACGAGGGTAGATTTCTTGCGTTTATGACGTAGCGCTTCATGTACGCATTTTGCGCTGTCCGGAGCTGACAGGTCCATGGAGCCTGCCTGCAGGCGCTAATCTCAGGACAATTCCACTCTCAGTACATTGCCACTTTCAGAGCAGGAAATGCACGCAAATACAAGCCTTTATATTATTAAGGTACAGTGCCACTTTCCGAACCATTAATGAATGCTTGTGTATACAAAAACGGCAGGCAAAACCGTTTTAAAATGTGTGTTTCCTGTATGGCGAATACAGCTGCTTTATTGATGTCTGTATGAAGTTGTTGTGAGTGTGGAGGGAGCAGCTACAGGTTAGCTTAACCTAATCGATCAGTGCACTACGAAGCCAGTGCTAGACAGTGAACTGTCAACGGGGGGAGCCCCGCCGGTCATTATCGGCCGATATTCACTCTTAATAGTTTGATCGGTGCTCTCTATAAAGGCCGATCAGGAGAGCTGGATCTGATCGATATGGACATAAACGCGAGTGAAGTTTTAGCGAGCTGCATGAGAAACTGACGGGTCAGAGGAAAAGAGATGATCCTTACTCCCGTGTTATTAGCCATATCCGGTCATAGTCCGGTAATTACCTGCTAACGGAAACTCTGCTACACAATTCTTCTTATTATTATTATTATTATTATTGAAACATGACCGGTAAGTTTAAAATTTGTCCGGTAAAATAAATTCTGTCCACCCAGCTCCGGACAGCGCAAAATGCGTATATGAAGTGTCATGAACGCAATAAATCATACCCTCGTGGGGACGCCCTCATCTGATTGGCTTAGAATGAAGGAGACATCTGATTGGCTATAGAAAAAATTACAAGTACGAATCGGGTGACCGTCAGGGGAGTCTCAAAAAACCCACACACGAATGCACAGCGATCCATGCACAGAAAGCGGTTTGTGTTTGCAGGTTCAGGGGATTTAAACGGAAAACAAATATGTGAGGATCAAAAATACATATGTAAAACTTTTTTCTGTATTTGGATTTTATTTACATGTATATGAAACGGAACACATTTGTGTGTGCATTGAAAAACACAAATGTGGATCCGGAAATACAAGT